TATGCCACAGAAATCTGTTTAACCATCTCTGTCTTGGTGCATTGGACGTTAGCTTGTTGTCTATCAAATTGAATTTAAGTGAGTCAGAGGCTGCCACAGCATTCAGGTCGAAGCAATTTCCTGAGCAATAAATCTCATATAACCAACCACTGACTGTTTAAAAGCTCTCCATCAGCTAATAACAATGCAGTTTTCCTTTCCATACCCTTGTTTAAGTTGCTACTTGCAGCTCTCTGCCACCTCGCTAAACACACCAACATCAATCAATCACATCTGATGTCTTGTTCCTGTTTGCCCATTAAAGACAGACAGTGTTCAATGAAATCTATCAGCACAAGAGGTCATGTCTGCAAAACTATGGCATATGCTCTGTGGGCCCACATTAGACCTCCCCACAGTGTCAGCACTTTCACCAGGGGACAACAAAGCTTGTCAGATCTGTCCTTTAGACTAATTTTTGTAGCTGACTACTTTATCAGGAAACCATTGTGACAGACTGACTAAAATGTCAAATTAACACAGAAGAAAAATGAAGAAATTGTCAAAATGCAAATGATTGTAAGGGTGGTGGATGTGGCAGAGACGTAGATGGGTTCACTTTAAAGTTAATGCTTCAAAGTATAGATTAAATACTGGAATTCCTCAACTTAAACAGTAATTTGAGGATATCTACCAAGATGAATAGGATAGTTTTCAGTTTACCTATTCCAAACCAAAGGCTATAAATACAAAATGATAAACTGATGACTTGCTACTAAACAATTTTAGATTAGGAAGAGGAATGTCTGAAACCATGATTTCACCATTTAGAGGGTGCACATAGAGTCTGTGGAAAAACATATGCACAGTAAGTATGATACAGAAATTGGTCCGTTTATCTCTGTCATCAAACCTTTGAAATATGTTCAACTTATTCATGTCTTCAATGCAAGGAGGTAATAAAGTCAATGAGGGCTGAAAACGGAAATCAATGGAATTATGATAGCTCCTCTGACAGAAACCCTATAGACTGTGTGGTGAATAGAGAAAACCACACTGATAGTAGAGTGTACTACATATTTGTAATAGTCACAAAGAAATTATAGCAGTAGTGTGCTGAATAAAAATGGCCCTGGTTATGGAATATTCCAAATTAAGGCATATAAAAAATAAATATAGCATTTGATTTGCATTGAAATAAATATGAGTATCTATCAAATTACTGTGTATTCACAGAAAGAGACTGTTTAAATGTTTCAGCACCATGGAGAGAGCCGAAATTTGCATGCAAATTGGCATGGGGTTAATCTCATTTGTCTTCATTGTGTCTTTGTTTATCCTACTTTCCTGCTTTCAACTTCTTCATGTGTCTTTGTTCCACTCACTTAAAATGAGCAGAAGCGATGCAGGGAAAAGATGGGAAGAATTCAGCCCCCTAAAATGAACGGTTTAACAAGCAACTCTCAAACAAAATGGCTGAAAATGAATATAAAGTACTAGAAATTAGGACTGACTTAGCAAGTTCTTGGATTTGAATGTTTCAAAACTATGGAGAGGGATGCATAGAGACTGTTTGAATACCCACACCTGTGGTACCAGATTTGCAAGTTAAGTGCTGACTTGTGTAACATATTTTTAATAATTGCAATCATGTGGTAGATTTAAAAGATGCACTGGGACTCACTTAGGGAATAAGTCTACCTCTTGCTTAAACAAATTTTGGCTCAGTTTTTTTTTGGGCTCTAACGGTCTTTTCTTATTTTATTTTTTTAAATACAAATGAAAAGGAAGGGCAATACCACAACAACAACAACCCAACATTAAACTGAAATACCTAAATAAATGTGGCTGAAGTAATGCATTAAGTGATCATCCCATGTACTGCTGAACTGTTGGCGTTTATACGTGCACATGAATAAACTGTAGGTGTAATAATTGCTTAATGTCACAATTAAAAGTTATCAGGGTAGATAAGTAGCTTTTGTTGTTGTTGTTTAGTGACACGCCTACAGCTTTAGAAATCACAGGGCAATTCATACTTTTAGCAGAAACTATGTGTTGTTACTCATTATCACTCTTTCAAAAATCATAAAAAGTTATTTATTTCATGGCCTTGTCACTATTATTTAATATATTTGTGTACATTCAGGAGCATTAACAACAGATCATTCAGTGTATTCACTCAAAAGCACAAAGCCAAGGTACTGGTTGACCTCAACCTACGTGCTTGCATCAGTTGGATAACCAGCTTATAGCAGTAGACCATGACGAACTATGGAAGCGCTGATTATTCCTTCACACCAGCCCTAGAGCAAGTCTGCATTACGTGTGGGTTACAATAATTAGCTGCTTGTCGTTTTTCTGATTTATACCTAGCAAAGTGGATGTGCCTTTTAGTGACTGAAATGAGTTTGCACAACATTTTAAAGCACCCAATGGGGTGCATTTGGAATTATACAAGTGTTACCAACCTGATGACTATGCTGACAGGTCTGGCAACTTATGAGACCCTTTTAGCAACTGTAATTCTAACAGAAAGGCTTGTGACAACAACATTTTCAGTGGACATTAGCTTGATGAGAGGTGCCAGTCAGCCACAGTAAATATACAGTCCTTTCTGCTTGTTATGGCTGGGGTTTATTTGTGAGCACATGCACATTCAGTTGGCTGCTCAGGTCAGGTAAATGACTGCACAGTATCCGCAGCATACATGAAAGGGACATGGTGCATTACTAACTGGGAAAAGCCTTTCTTAGTGTTTTTCAGAAATAACACATATGTGAATACTTACCAGTTAAATTGTATGTGCAGTTACCAAGACACACTCTGTGAGTGCATGTGAATACTTACCAGGTACTCAAAATTGTATGCGCAGTTACCAAGACACACTCTGTGAGTGATTGTTTCAGTGCCATGGAGGGGGAAAAAAAACATTTCAGCACCATGGAGAGAGACAGAGAGTGGCTGACTGTGTCCTTTTTCCATACAACGGTGACAAATAAGCAGATGGCAGTATGTGTATACAAAATTGTACAAAATTTGTACACACATATCGCCATGTCCCACAGTGCTATACACAAAGGAAATGATGGTGCTGCTCCCAGCTGGGGGAAAAAACAATAATACAAATCCAAGTGAAAACTAGCAATAACATTAAACGTTTGGAAGAGCATTTCTTTTTATCAGGTTTAACTGACAGCTGTGTTCCATCTTCACTTTATGATAGATGTATTTTGGTGCATGGCTGGTATCTTTTACTGTTAGGGGGAATTTTTAAAAAGCTGTTTATTTCAGGGATATTGAATCCAAACAGAGTATACTATTAAAATTAGTAGACAGGTACAACATAGTATGTATGGATTGTTTCAGCACTACCGACCTAACACAAAGAATTGATTGTTTCTGTCATCTTCAGATGCCAAATGCAGTAATCACAAGGAAAAATGATATAGGTCCAAAAAAATTAAATAAGAACCAGATTCTTTTGTATTATTTTAATTTTCCCAGTCTGTAACTCTATATATTTACTGTATTGTTCGTTATAAACTTTATTTTAATTGATTTATGTTGTTCAATTAAGATTTTTTTTTTTTTTACTTATTTCTAAATTGTAGATGTTTTATTTCTTTGTTGAACATTATGACTTTGCTAAGTGAATAAAAATAAAAATTTGGAATAAAAATATGAATGAAAACATGCTCCCTTTCATTTCTGGTGCAGTCACCAGTGGCAATCCATTTCAGCAGTGAAGTGAAAACACTAGTTTGAACTGGGATATTTCTGGAGAAACTGCACTTTCAGTTGAAATTGCAGACTAAATTCAAGTTTAACATTTTGAAGAAATGGAAAAGATCTGTTTTAACAATGAGTGAGTTGACAGGAAGTGCATGGGTGAATGGAAATCTTTTGCTAAGCACTTGGTGCTGAATCCTTTAGTGCACGGTAAGTTGAAGACCTGAGGCCTCATTTATAAAATTAAGGGGCAATCTCCAGTAGTGATTTAAGGATCAGATTTATGTTTGTTTGTTTATAATTGTTACTTTTTGAGAAAAAAAATCTATATTGAAAGATGAAACTACACGTTTATCCTTGTGCTTTACTAATGGATTACAGGCAGGGTCTTAGGTTGATGAACTTACAGTATTGACTGCTCATAATGGCTTAACACACAAAAGACAGGCAACTTTCAGATACACATTTTATATTTTGTTGTTGTTTCCAGTTCCACATGTATTTAAAGCCTCACATCTGAAGCTAACATGGGGGAAAATCCAAAAACAATGCTTTAAAAAAGCAAATATGAACATGTGCAATTCCACTACAGCTGGCAAACTCCATTTGCTAGTTAAGATCACATGGAAAGTAAGAAAATAAAAGTTCTATTTAAGCACTGCACCTAATTACAGTTTTGATGTTGTTGCACCTTACTTGAATAAGCAATATGACATGAATCAATTATTCTAATATTATATTTCTCTGGAATGGGCCATTATGCACAATGAACTATTTTATTTGGTACTTTACATATATTATGGTGCTGATACTTGTGTGCTTGTGCTCATTCACAATTCTGTAAGCACAATTTTACTTGCTGAAAATGAACATCTTACTATTTTAGGACTTTTTGGAAGAATATGTGACTGTATGTCTACAGAAATACTCATTGATGATGACAATCCAAATTGTACATTAAAAGCACTGATCCAAACGATGTCATTCAAATCGTCTCTCTTTCAGAATGATGCCACTACAAACAAACATTCTTTTCGATAAATAAATAAGAAAAAGGCCAATTGACTACACATCATGTATGTCTTTAAAGGGACACGTGTCTGTCCACGGTGAAGTGATTTGTTGCACCCCAACATAAATGCATGTGAGCAGTTCAACGATGTCATTCTCACTACACCTGTGCTGCCGCCTCCTGGACGGACGCAACTCCTTTGCAGCGACTGTACTATAAGTGAACGGACAGCTTATGAGCCCCACTCAAAGCGAGAGAACCACACACAAGGAGCGGGATGGCGAGGATTCTGCTGCTGCAGCTCCGCGTCCTCCTTGTGGGGCTTTTAATGACAGAGACACTGACACTTCAAGCAAACAAAGGAGCGACAACGCCTGACGAAGAGAGGGACAAAGAAAGCGACGCGGAAACGCCATGTGAGGTGAAAACCGTCACCGTCTCAACCCTGCCCGTACTCCGGGAGAACGAGTTCAGCTTCACCGGCGGAGCCTCGGGGAACGTGGTCGGAGGAGGGGGTGCTTCTGGAGCAGGTGGTGTTGGTGGAGGAGGATCTGGAGGAGGAACTGGAGGAGGAGGAGCAGGAGGAGGGGGTGAATCCCGACTTCTATTATTCGTTAGAACAGACCTACCTGGGCGAATTTCCGTAATGGATGATCTGGACAACACAGCTCTCCCCTACTTCACACTCGGTAAGAACTGCTGTGTCTCCCCTCTGTAATGATAGCTGCACATTTGCACAGGGGGCTGATAGGCTGTGTTCCCCCTGAGCTACATTCCCAAATGATGCGCTCCATGTGTCCTGTTTCCATCATCTGTTTTAGATTGCATAGTAATGTTATCCTACCAACCTGCAACCAGTAATCAAGGTAAACTGATAATGTAGGATGTCATTTACCCAAGATTTTACTGCTGTATGTGAAAAACAAACTACTACTAGTTTAAGTAACAGACCCCCACCGCCCACCTCACCCTATCTCAATCAATCAGTGCAATTTGGTCCTGCAAATATGCATGGAATTGGCGTATTATTTTCCCACATGCACTGCTGTTGGCATAAGTTTCACTGAATAAAATACAGTTTCTATCATTGTCAGCATTTGGTCGTGGCAGCTTTTCAGGGAACCTCCACATCCCCCTCTTTTTTTGTGTTTAGTCACACAGGTCTAGATAACTGAGTGAATTATACCAGCACTACACCGGTAGTTGACAGATAATCTGAAGTTCTGTGTGAAAGCTATTCACTTAAAAAAAAAAAAGATGCTGGGAAAATAGAATCACTGCCTGTATAATCATAAAGGACATAATAGTAGGAAAGTACATTTCCCTCCTACGAACCAAAAGGATATTTGTTAGAAGAGCAGACTATGCATGAAGGGAACTTGCTTACCTTGCTTTTTCCATATTTTCCACTTATGTTACAGAGACATGTGAAGATGAATGTTTTTATACTTGACCGTTTGGTGTGTAAGTCAACCAACTTTTCTGTGTGTGTAATGGTAGAGTGTGTGGCACACAGGGATGTTTGTTAAGTGAAATAAGCCACACTAGGTGGACCATAATTACAAAATGCAGTATGTTTTCCAGTTTGCAATCAGTTCCAGGCAACTGTATTGGCTCAGTATGACAGAAAACCTGAAAATACAAAGACTTGGTGGAGGCCAGTAATGTGGGTACTGAGAGAATCTATGAACTTGTCTCATTATTACAGTTTTCAGTCTCTGGCTTGTTACCTTCTTTGGAACCCTGCTCTCAGTTTCATTCTCTGTATGAGAAGTGCCGGCTAAACTGGCTGCGTGAAGCAAAGGCGGGTGAGCAGGCTGAGGCTGGAGCATTAAGCTAGTAAATCACTTTCTATTCTCATTAAGGACAGCCGTTGACTGGTGAGAAAGGCCTCTCTGTCCTCCCAGTCAGCCAACTAGCAAATTTGCTGCTTCGCCCTTCTAGAGCATGTCTGCCCGGAGTGGAGTGAGGAGGAGGAGAAAAGGGGCTTAATACACATTGAAGGCATGGCATGTGTCCAGTGTGTTCTTTGCAGAGGTTTAGATGACAGATAGTTGAAAATGACTTTAAAAATGTGATGCATCAGATGCACCATATTTTTAAACCAGCTTTTTAACTCAACAGAAAGCAATGTGAGGTGACATGACAGTTCTGCCTGTTATACAGGGTTTAACATGGCCTTTAAAACACCTTTTATTCTGAATGTAGAGAAAAGGTTGACTTTGAAAACTCCAGTCTTATGAGAGAATTGTGAGCAAGTTCATTCATGCTGATGATCACATTGTGAAACTGATTTACACATACCATCAAGATAACCAACAGTGAAATAGGTTTCTTTGTTAAATAACAAGGTTTTTACTTTACTTACAGAATGGCTAAATGCCTCGTTCTGTCCTCTTTGTCTTAATTATGTCAGACTCTTCATCTTTGCATGTTTACTATACGTTGTTTCCAGGAAACAGTGCCATACTTTCTATTTTTTTCTATCAGTACTTTTTTTTGTGGCGTGCTGGTATTGTAAAACACATGCTGGACTTGTGTCATGACATAACCACAGTGGAAGCTAATGGCAATGAAAAAGACCTTATATTACTGTAAGTGTGTTAAGATTCTGACACTGGAGTCCAAGTCAGACATTTTGATGTCACCTGTATTTTCATTGTCTTCACGTTTCAGTACCATAATGCATTAGGTCATTGTGACAGCTTTTCTCTTGATGAATGTATTAGTAGTAGTAGAGCTCTGCACGTGGAATGAAATGTTGTACCTGACTTAAAAATATGTATTGTCATTTAGTAGAAATAAATGAACATATTGAATCACATAGGTGGAAAACTTTTGTAATCAGACTTAGTTTTGTTGTATCTATTTTCTACCTTATCATTCTCTATCTCCTATTAAAATTGAGAGTTTTGCAAAACACAGGCAGGTACACAGATATTATTTAGCCTCAGGCATGGGCATTGCCACTTTTTTAAATTTATTTATTTCATCCTATATTGTATTATGCTACTAAACATTATTTATGTTTGTGTGTAGACTTGCTTGGAATTAGCCAACTGCCCACCACCACTCTATTCTGTTCTTTTAATGTCTGTTCTGAAGCTTTCAGGAAGCTGTTAGCATCAGTTATTGTGACGGCAAGTGCTGCCTGCAATAATGTAACCTAACTAGAGAACAGGAAATTGTAGCAGATAATTTAAACAACTCATTGTATATGATCTCTAACTTTTGAATGACTGAAAAGTCAATCTAACAGACTCTGATACCAGTGGCTAAACATACACCTCATTGAAACCTTAATTGGCCCGCAGTAGTCAGTGTCTCATTATACCTGAGACACCTACTTGCATTTTTCTTCACTGGGTGAACACGATTTTGACCTTTTATGCTTAAAATAGTGGAATTGCCATTTTTATTTTAGAAACAGAACAATAAGACTTTTTTCTTTTCATATGTGCTCATTATTTCTAGCTGTGCCTCATTGATCAGTGTTAGCCACTGCGTTACACTTGATGCGTTACATTATTTCACTGCCTACCATCAGCTGTACTTCTCTCCATCCCTAACTAAAGACACTTATTTATTTATTTTTTTTTACAATAGTGTCACGGCACTAGAGATTTGAAAATACTAGGGCGTACCTTATTAACCATGTCATCCAAACCATAATGATAATAGTCTTGGTGTCTCTTTCTTTGATATCGTCAGATGTCCAATTATTTTGTCGAACTGACACCAGAGGTTTGGGGAGGAGGGGGGGGGCTCCTTTCCCACTGTGGTCTGCTTAGCTTTGATTTATTACCACGTGTGTCATGGATATTGGATGAGCAGACAGGGCAGTGCAGAGAAATTGTACAGAGCCCCTTCCCTTGCCCTTTTTCCTGTTTTGTTTTCTTAGGCTGTCCCTTACATACTGCGTGTGCTTCAAACAGTAAGCTTTAAAATCCATTTCAAATAGAAAACTGATATCTATTCCTTAAGCTGTCTTATGTATAGACATCCTAACCTTTGGTAAAATGATTGCATTGGGTTTGCTGATATGTTGTATTGTTTATTCTGCGGGTGCATGCAAGTATGTTGGAAAAGCCACATTTGAGGAAGCTGGTGTTTAAATGTTTAGTTTCAGGGCTTTCCTTAAAGAAAACAGTAGCGCTAAGCCATCATATTCTACTGTTGTCATGATTTCAAAATAGAGCGTTAATGAATTATGTTGGTAATGCAAACTTGGCATCGTCCTAGGGAGAGAATTTTATGCTACCATGCTTTGTCACACAATCATTTTCTTTACTCTTTCTAAGTGATGTGATGGCACTGGGTAGAAATCGATAGCTGTAGCAACATGGCTGACTCTGTGAACACCTCATTAAGAGTTCACCTTTTTGAAAACCTTCAGTTTCTTACTACAGGATCGAAAACATTCAAATATCTTCCTGTCTTCACTGTCTGCCATTTTGAGCTAGATCTTTACACTGTTTATTTTCCACTGCATCTTGGTCTTTTTTTTTTTTTTTTTTTTGCACATTTTATCGAATGCAGGCGTGTCAACCAGTCTTTTCCTTTCTCTCTGTATCCCCTTTCGGCTTTACTTTATCTTTCTAACCAGGAGTCACAGCAGACCCTGCTTGCTTAGAGATGGGAGATTAAAAGCAATAGTTGTAAAGTGCAAAAAAAGAATGCTTCTACTAGAGCACTGTGTTCCCTGTGGCACAGAACATGTACACGCTGCACTGCATCTCTATCTTATGTCAGGGGTTGAGCTTAGCACTGCAGGACAAGCAATGAACAGGGGGCAAAGGTCAACAAGAGAGAAGGGAGTTATTACATGGTGTGGAGCTGAGATGGAAGTCTGGGTTTTCCCGTTGCATGAGATTTCATAAGGACTTTTAAATATTTATTTAGGAATACTATATACAAAGCAGGACCAGATGGTTTACTGAAGATGCTAAGAGACCATAGCAAATAGGATCTTTGGTATAAGCCATCAAATGGTCTGTTTACAGTATCATTTGACCTAACATTATGAGAATGCAGTCTCATAAATTGAATTTTCTTACTAACCACAATCTGTACATGTCATGCCATACTGCTACTGTAATATTTTCAGTCTTTTGGTTTATTCATATATAGCAAAATGGCAGGTTTATGACAGAACAGAAGCTCCACTGGCTGTGTAATGACCCCTCACCTGCTTTTAGTCAGAGATGGCATACATTATGGGTTCCAGTTATTCTATTTTAGTTTTGAGCTTTGCGGCAAAGAACCTGCAACATGTGTCTGCTCCCACTATGATTTCTCAGTTACTTCATTGACTGTGGATGTAGTTAAATGACCATGGTCCAGATATATTAATATACAAACAAAAACAGGCATTTTCTATGCATTGTTTGTATTAAAATTTTATAAATCGGATTGTGTACAAATGTTTAACTGATTTGAGCTAAGTGAAAAACAGTGGAGTGGAATTTGAGGATAGGGTGAAAGACAAATATGCAACATCATTCTGTGTTTATTTTGTTTGATACTACACAGCCGTTGAAATATAATTAATTAAATGCTTTTGAGGTTTGATGACAATTAAGATATCACTGATGATGGTGGCTAACACTTGCAGTGTGAAGGATTGATAACTCGGTGTTAAGCAGTTACAGTTTTATGTAATGGTTGTGCATAACAGCATTAGCTCTGA